ACAGCACCATGCAGGTGCCTATGATTGTCAGTTTACATCCAGGATCCACTAAGGTTAAGACAGCACCATGCAGATGCCTATGATTGTCAGTTTACATCCAGGATCCACTAAGGTTAAGACAGCACCATGCAGGTGCCTATGATTGTCAGTTTACATCCAGGATCCACTAAGGTTAAGACAGCACCATGCAGGTGCCTATGATTGTCAGTTTACATCCAGGATCCACTAAGGTTAAGACAGCACCATGCAGATGCCTATGATTGTCAGTTTACATCCAGGATCCACTAAGGTTAAGACAGCACCATGCAGGTGCCTATGATTGTCAGTTTACATCCAGGATCCACTAAGGTTAAGACAGCACCATGCAGGTGCCTATGATTGTCAGTTTACATCCAGGATCCACTAAGGTTAAGACAGCACCATGCAGGTGCCTATGATTGTCAGTTTACATCCACGCCGAAGACCCGGGTTCGATTCCCCACATGGGCACAATGTGTTAAGCCCATTTCTGGTGTCCCCACCGTGATATTGCTGGAATATTGCTAAAAGCGGCGTAAAACTAAAACTCAGTCAGTCAGTTTACATCCAGTATCCACTAAGGTTAAGACAGCACCATGCAGATGCCTATGATTGTCAGTTTACATCCAGGATCCACTTAAGGTTAAGACAGCACCATGGATGCCACTAAGGTTAAGACAGCACCATGCAGGTGCCTATTGTCAGTTTACATCCAGGATCCACTAAGGTTAAGACAGCACCATGCAGATGCCTATGATTGTCAGTTTACATCCAGGATCCACTAAGGTTAAGACAGCACCATGCAGGTGCCTATGATTGTCAGTTTACATCCAGGATCCACTAAGGTTGCAGGTGCCTAAGGATCCACTATTTAAGACAGCACCATGCAGGTGCCTATGATTGTCAGTTTACATCCAGGATCCACTAAGGTTAAGACAGCACCATGCAGGTGCCTATGATTGTCAGTTTACGTCCAGGATCCACTAAGGTTAAGACAGCACCATGCAGGTGCCTATGATTGTCAGTTTACATCCAGGATCCACTAAGGTTACAGCACCATGCAGGTGCCTATGATTGTCAGTTTACATCCAGGATCCACTAAGAAGACAGCACCATGCAGGTGCCTATGATTGTCAGTTTACATCCAGGATCCACTAAGGTTAAGACAGCACCATGCAGGTGCCTATGATTGTCAGTTTACATCCAGGATCCACTAAAGGTTAAGACAGCACCATGCAGGTGCCTATGATTGTCAGTTTACGCCCAGGATCCACTAAGGTTAAGACAGCACCATGCAGATGCCTATGATTGTCAGTTTACATCCAGGATCCACTAAGGTTAAGACAGCACCATGCAGGTGCCTATGATTGTCAGTTTACATCCAGGATCCACTAAGGTTAAGACAGCACCATGCAGGTGCCTATGATTGTCAGTTTACATCCAGGATCCACTAAGGTTAAGACAGCACCATGCAGGTGCCTATGATTGTCAGTTTACATCCAGGATCCACTAAGGTTAAGACAGCACCATGCAGGTGCCTATGATTGTCAGTTTACATCCAGGATCCACTAAGGTTAAGACAGCACCATGCAGGTGCCTATGATTGTCAGTTTACATCCAGGATCCACTAAAGGTTAAGACAGCACCATGCAGGTGCCTATGATTGTCAGTTTACATCCAGGATCCACTAAGGTTAAGACAGCACCATGCAGGTGCCTATGATTGTCAGTTTACATCCAGGATCCACTAAGGTTAAGACAGCACCATGCAGGTGCCTATGATTGTCAGTTTACGTCCAGGATCCACTAAGGTTATTACAGCACCATGCAGGTGCCTATGATTGTCAGTTTACATCCAGGATCCACTAAGGTTAAGACAGCACCATGCAGGTGCCTATGATTGTCAGTTTACGCCCAGGATCCACTACAGGTTAAGACAGCACCATGCAGGTGCCTATGATTGTCAGTTTACATCCACGCCACTAAGACCGGGTTCGATTCCCCACATGGCACACAATGTGTTAAGCCCATTTCTGGTGTCCCCACACCGTGATATTGCTGGAATATTGCTAAAAGCGGCGTAAAACTAAAACTCAGTCAGTCAGTTTACATCCAGTATCCACTAAGGTTAAGACAGCACCATGCAGATGCCTATGATTGTCAGTTTACATCCAGGATCCACTAAGGTTAAGACAGCACCATGCAGGTGCCTGTGATTGTCAGTTTACATCCAGGATCCACTAAGGTTAAGACAGCACCATGCAGATGCCTATGATTGTCAGTTTACATCCAGGATCCACTAAGGTTAAGACAGCACCATGCAGGTGCCTATGATTGTCAGTTTACATCCAGGATCCACTAAGGTTAAGACAGCACCATGCAGGTGCCTATGATTGTCAGTTTACATCCAGGATCCACTAAGGTTAAGACAGCACCATGCAGGTGCCTATGATTGTCAGTTTACATCCAGGATCCACTAAAGGTTAAGACAGCACCATGCAGGTGCCTATGATTGTCAGTTTACATCCAGGATCCACTAAAGGTTAAGACAGCACCATTAAGACAGCACCATGCAGGTGCCTATGATTGTCAGTTTACATCCAGGATCCACTAAGGTTAAGACAGCACCATGCAGGTGCCTATGATTGTCAGTTTACATCCAGGATCCACTAAGGTTAAGACAGCACCATGCAGGTGCCTATGATTGTCAGTTTACATCCAGGATCCACTAAGGTTAAGACAGCACCATGCAGATGCCTATGATTGTCAGTTTACATCCAGGATCCACTAAGGTTAAGACAGCACCATGCAGGTGCCTATGATTGTCAGTTTACATCCAGGATCCACTAAGGTTAAGACAGCACCATGCAGGTGCCTATGATTGTCAGTTTACATCCAGGATCCACTAAGGTTAAGACAGCACCATGCAGGTGCCTATGATTGTCAGTTTACATCCAGGATCCACTAAGGTTAAGACAGCACCATGCAGGTGCCTATGATTGTCAGTTTACATCCAGGATCCACTAAGGTTAAGACAGCACCATGCAGGTGCCTATGATTGTCAGTTTACATCCAGGATCCACTAAGGTTAAGACAGCACCATGCAGGTGCCTATGATTGTCAGTTTACATCCAGGATCCACTAAGGTTAAGACAGCACCATGCAGATGCCTATGATTGTCAGTTTACATCCAGGATCCACTAAGGTTAAGACAGCACCATGCAGGTGCCTATGATTGTCAGTTTACATCCAGGATCCACTAAGGTGTTAAGACAGCACCATGCAGATGCCTATGATTGTCAGTTTACATCCAGGATCCACTAAGGTTAAGACAGCACCATGCAGGTGCCTGTGATTGTCAGTTTACATCCAGGATCCACTAAGGTTAAGACAGCACCATGCAGATGCCTATGATTGTCAGTTTACATCCAGGATCCACTAAGGTTAAGACAGCACCATGCAGGTGCCTATGATTGTCAGTTTACATCCAGGATCCACTAAGGTTAAGACAGCACCATGCAGGTGCCTATGATTGTCAGTTTACATCCAGGATCCACTAAGGTTAAGACAGCACCATGCAGGTGCCTATGATTGTCAGTTTACGTCCAGGATCCACTAAGGTTAAGACAGCACCATGCAGGTGCCTATGATTGTCAGTTTACGTCCAGGATCCACTAAGGCTATGACAGCACCATACAGGTGCCTGTGATTGTCAGTTTACATCCAGGATACACTAAGGTTAAGACAGCACCATGCAGGTGCCTATGATTGTCAGTTTATGTCCAGGATCCACTAAGGTTAAGACAGCACCATGCAGGTGCCTATGATTGTCAGTGTACATCCAGGATCCACTAAGGTTAAGACAGCACCATGCAGATGCCTATGATTGTCAGTTTACGTCCAGGATCCACTAAGGTTATGACAGCACCATGCAGATGCCTATGATTGTCAGTTTACGTCCAGGGTACATCCAGGATCCACTAAGGTTAAGACAGCACCATGCAGGTGCCTATGATTGTCAGTTTACATCCAGGATCCACTAAGGTTAAGACAGCACCATGCAGGTGCCTGTGATTGTCAGTTTACATCCAGGATCCACTAAGGTTAAGACAGCACCATGCAGATGCCTATGATTGTCAGTTTACATCCAGGATCCACTAAGGTTAAGACAGCACCATGCAGGTGCCTATGATTGTCAGTTTACATCCAGGATCCACTAAGGTTAAGACAGCACCATGCAGGTGCCTATGATTGTCAGTTTACATCCAGGATCCACTAAGGTTAAGACAGCACCATGCAGATGCCTATGATTGTCAGTTTACATCCAGGATCCACTTAGGTTAAGACAGCACCATGCAGGTGCCTATGATTGTCAGTTTACATCCAGGATCCACTAAGGTTAAGACAGCACCATGCAGGTGCCTATGATTGTCAGTGGACATCCAGGATCCACTTAGGTTAAGACAGCACCATGCAGGTGCCTATGGTTGCCAGTTTACATCCAGGATCCACACAGGTTAAGACAGCACCATGCAGGTGCCTATGATTGTCAGTTTACGTCCAGGATCCACACAGGTTAAGACGGCACCATGCAGATGCCTATGATTGTCAGTTTACGTCCAGGATCCACTAAGGTTATGACAGCACCATGCAGATGCCTATGATTGTCAGTTTACGTCCAGGGTACATCCAGGATCCACTAAGTTTAAGACAGCACCATGCAGGTGCCTATGATTGTCAGTTTACATCCAGGATCCACACAGGTTAAGACAGCACCATGCAGGTGCCTATGATTGTCAGTTTACGTCCAGGATCCACTAAGGATATGACAGCACCATGCAGGTGCCTATGATATTCACCAGTGGGAAGACAGACAGATTTGCTCTCCAGATTACCCTTATATGCCATGAGGATATAAGCAGAAGTATTTGAGCATCCGATGGTGAGGTGCTGATTTGTTGTCATGTTTCATGGTGTTCACAGGAAGCAGGAGAGACGCGGGACAGTGGAGGAGGGACCATGACAGCTGAACAGCTATTCAACACAATCTATGTGAACCCGACAAGTACAGACCATGTAAGCCTGGATGAGTCCACCCTGCAGCAGACGGATGTAGTACCAGGTACGCCTGCTCTCTGATGGTGGTCCTATTAATTGAAATAATCGAGGATTGGTCGTAGTGACTAAATGACCAAGCAATCGATCATGTTTTCACATAATCAAACAAACAATTCTGGGACACTTGTTTGCATTAACAATATTTTTCACAAGGTTGGTTTTTTATAAGCACTATAAGCTCATTACAAGTCATGATTGAATTTATCTTAAAGACTCCAGGACATTTATGTTCCTAACATGCTAGTAGTATTACTATTGTCATCCTTCTTAGATGTGAAATTTGCAAATGCATTTTGTGCAACTTGCAAAAAACCCAAAGAACTACATGTTTTTTTGTGTGCAAGAAAAAAAATAACCAGGAAAATTTGATAAATTGTGCTAATGAATTATTTTCGATGGTTGATGGGTTGTAATGAACCAATCATCAATTATGAGATTTTAACCAATTCCCAACACTACTGCTTTCAATGCTCCCATGCTGGGTCACATAGTTTTCTGTTAAGAGAGCAGATACAGTAATAGCAAACACACTTTGATTTCAGATTGCATGTTCAAAATGTAAAGTACTGTACATGTTCTTGTTAGGTCGGTCCCACAATGATTGGACTATGTGATGAAGACAAACTGCAAGTCTTATTTTGAGTGACATTTAAAGTTGGTGTGATGCACAAGCTGCTGTTGATAAACTACTTCTTCATCACTGAGGCAATTCCCTGTGGATTCTTAGACCTCAGACCTCAAAAGCAAGTTCAGAAGTGTCACCTCAGCAAAATTTAAACAGGATATCCATTTTCAGTATATCCCTATAGTAAACATTTAGATGAGAGCGGGGATGGTTGGGAGGGTACTTAACCGTCTGAGTGAGGATAAGTATAACATAATACACATACATAGTAGTGAGAAATCTCTTTGCAACATGTAGTACCTGTTTTCACTCAAGCATCACTGTAAATGTTCAGTGATAATTGTACAAATAGTTCAGCCAATATAGGTAAACTTTATGGATAACAACTTCTTTATTATATCCCCGCTACGAAGTAACGGGGGTATATAGCGTTCATTCTGTCCGTCCCGAAACTTTGTCAGGAGCATATCTCTTAAAGTTTACATGCTAGGTTCACCAAACTTCCCACACATGTTAATCATTACCCATTGATGTGCCTTTTGCTATTTTAAAGTTTTTTCAGAATTTAGTTTTTTTGCTGTTTCCATGGAAACACGACTTAGTGCCAAATGTGTTCGATTATTTTGTCCAGAGCATATCTCTTAAAGTTTACATGCTAGGTTCACCAAACTTCACACACATGTTAATCATTACCCATTGATGTGCCTTTTGCTATTTTAAAGTTTTTTCAGAATTTAGTTTTTTTGCTGTTTCCATGGAAGCACGACTTAGGCTGTGACTATGAGGATGTCATCTTGTCCGGAGCAGATCTTCCAAACTATACATGCTAGCTTCATCAAACTTGGTACACATATCAAGCATGATCCCTAGATGTGCCTTTTGGGGGGTAGATCCAGATATGAATTGTATTTTTTGCTGTTTCCATGGAAACATGACTTATGCTGTGACTATGAGGATGTCATCTTGTCCGGAGCAGATCTTCCAAACTATACATGCTAGCTTCATCAAAATGGTACACATATCAAGCATGATCCCTAGATGTGCCTTTTTGGGTTTAGATCCAGATATGAATTTTTTTTTTTGCTGTTTCCATGGAAACATGACAGTGCCAAATGTGTTCGATTATTTTGTCCGGAGCATATCTCTTAAAGTTTACATGCTAGGTTCACCAAACTTCACACACATGTTAGTCATTACCCATTGATGTACCTTTTGCTATTTCAAAGGTTTTTCAGAATTTAGTTTTTTTGCTGTTTCCATGGAAACATAACTTAGTGCCAAATGTGTTTGATGGTTTTGTCCGGAGCATATCTCTTAAAGTTTACATGCTAGGTTCATGCTAGGTACATGCAAAATGTATTTGATGGTTACCTGACCACGGCATATCATCGAAACTATACATGCTAGGTTCACCAAACTTAATACACAAGTTAATCATGACCCACAGATATGCAATGTGCTAAAAAATAGCAATCTTCATCTACGTCCACTTCATTGTGTGCAACATGAGACAGTCAAGTTCAATTGTATGTCAGGTTTCCACGGAAAACACCAAAAAATCTAGTTTCCATAAATTATTACCGTAATCAGTACATGCCAAAACTATTATCTAACATGTATATAAAGTTTAGTAGAGTCAAAGAGAAAGTCTTGTGAGCTGCTGATCCTTGTCACATTATATATATATCAATATCAGTCATTTCCATGTCCCAAAGTGGGAAGCGGGGGTATGTGAGCTGTGCTCACTTCTACACTTGTTTTGTGAGTGTGACGCTTCGATACAGATTCTTGTAGTGTTGTCAAGCCGACTAAAATACCACTTAAGGAAGTTAGTTCTGTACTGACCAAGTTAACATGGAACCTGGTTGTATATGATAATCGTTTCGGACACATGAAACATCAGTAGGCATGAGTAATAAAATGGTGGCATGGTTACATCAATCTGTAGGATGCTACTCTGAATCTCCAAGCAGACTGTTAACAAGGCTGTGGTCAGAATGACACTTTGTTGTTTTTCCAAAATAGGCAGCCTGAATAACCATGAAATAGTAAACAATGTTCATGAACACTTTGTTTTGTATTTTCAATACTGGTACACTGTTTGTAGTACTGGTACAATTAGTATTGATCATTGTCTGTGAATGAATGTCTGAACTGTCTGATCACACTTGCATAGCAGCCATGGCTAACTTAGATAACATTGGGCATGTATTGGGCATCTTCTGTCTTTGGATACTGCTGTTATGGTTAATATTCATGTCTTTGGATGTTTCAAAAGTTCTGCTTTTATGTGTTTAATATTCTTTTGTACATTTGATCATAATCATAATAATCTTATATTTCAAATGTTTTGACATTTCATGGTATTTTAATTATATTTTGTATTTACAAAAAACATTGACGAAACCAGTGGGACCGGACATTTACTGGAAGTGTACATTTGATTTCCCTTCACAGGACATTGCATTTTTGTATGAATGCATTTCAGAAACCCAAAGAAAACTCAGTTCACGTTTTGTGATGTTCATATATTTCATTATGTCATTGCAGGTTTACAAACAGTTCCTGTTCAAGAAATACTGCAGCCAGTGATTCCTGTAGTGGATACTGGTGCAGCAGGAGCTGCCACTCCCTCCGAGGGTTGTGGGTGTGTCCAGCATGTTATTCTCAACCAGTCAACTATACCCACCCTCTCCGATCCAGCCACAGACTTCCTTCTTCCCAGCAGTCTCAGCAGCTCCACACCCACAGGCACACTTCCTGTCAGCAACAACATCCAAGAGGACGTAACCCAGCCCCAGAATATTGTCCCAGCCCCAACAACAGAGGCTCCAGTGCACCTCCAGATTCAGACAGCTTCAGGCAGCACGGTTCCAGTCAGTCAGATCTTTGTGCCAGTGGTTTCCAACACGGACAAGGGTCCAGTCATAGAGCTTGTGCCACTTCAGAACAGCATTTCAGTGTCTGATGATAGCCGCACCTGAGATGCCATGTGAACCCAACACTGCTTTAAAAGTTTTACCTTTTTGTGGAGTTTATGTGTGTGATAATTTTCATATTCACAGGACAAATCATGTCCCAAGACAATGTGTGCATATTGCTATGTCTGTCAGTTGGGGACAGTTGCCTGCCTTGTGCACTGCAGCCATCATCATCTGTGTTAATACCTACCATCAGCACAATTCTTATTTTGCCAAATCTGAAAATCAAAGTGAACCATTCATCATAAACTGTCTTTCTCTTCTGGGTGAATGGTTTCTTGTGTTCCAATACTGATGGTGTGTGTACATACAGCCAAAATAATAACTATCCTCTGACTTCCTGATTAATCTACTCACACATGTCATTTGAAATATCATCTTGATTCATTTGCAGTCTCTTTGTTTGGATGTAAGGGTCAATAAGAACATCCTTCACTGCCGGAACCAACCACTTTCTACCCCCCTGGTGCATAGTCACCAAAAATCATATCTTCACTCTAATCTGATTTTTGCATGAAAATATAAGAAGAAATGTTATGGGAGCTTTCCAGTCAGACAATCCTCTTCAAGGCTAAGAAATTCTTGGTACAAGCAAATATTCACACATAGAGGTAATCTCTTTCCCCACTCCTCCACGTCAAGCTGGACACAGGCTGTGCCTTTCTCCTGTCATTAATGGGCAATCAACATGACTTCTCTACAGTGTGTGGTCCTGTGTATTTTGTTCTAGTTGCCAAGGACTTTACTCCTACAGGGCTAAACAGGGCTCCTTTTAGGGAGTTGTGAAGTATTAGTGTGATGTCTCATTGCAAATTCAAATTGATCAACTTCACAAGTATATGTATTGCACATTTATTGAAGTTGGTCATAGCAACATTAAAACAAAGCTCCCTTGCAAGATTGTCTCTTCTTCAGTGTAATGACTTCACAGGTTCTAAGTTCTGTTACATTTTCGTGTAATGTACTTTTATGTTATGGTACAGGAACCTCACCTTTAAAGGTCTGCTGTGTTTGCAGATAATATCAACATATATTTATGTACCTGTTTGATAAGTAAGTAAGATAGAATTGATGTTAAGTCACTTGAATTTGGTTTTTTTTACAAATTAAACATGAGCCATACACTCATGTCATGAATATTTTAGGCTCTAGTTTTACATAATGCTTGTCTCCAACATGACATGCACAACAGGTGGCAACAACTACAGCTTGATCCTATCACTGTGCTACAACACAGGGCTACCATAATATCAAGCAGCAATGATGAGCTATTGTCTGACTGACTGTAAGTAAAGACAATAAGATGGGTAGTAATCTGTATTGCACACTTGTTTACTGTGTGATGTCCTGTTTCACTGTGTTGTTATCATTTTCTATTATTAAGATGTTTGTTGATTTATGTTTCTATCATGGACAAAGAGATATGTCCTGTTATGTTTGATAACTGCGTCCCTGTATTTTCTCTTATAATCAGACAGGTAATCAGCACTTGGTTGTGAGTAGAGCATACGTGGTGGCTCACATAAGACAGAAGTAGACACTACTACAAGCAATAACTTTGGGCATCACATGTAAGCATATTGCACTTTGTGTCAGTTGCTACAGCCACTTCACTGTCATTTGGAAACGACAGAGGAATGGGGACTTCTGCAAAGAAATACCCCTTTCTTTGTGTTATTTAAATGGAACAAAGTATTAGATTTAGGTACAGGTGCACAAGTTGCTGACCATAATGGAACAAAACCACAAGTCTTGGCTTTCATAAAAAGGAAAGTTTAATCATCAGCTGTTTAGCTATTGACCCCTGTCCAGGCAAACTCTGTCAGTTGTCAAGATGCGAACATTACTGTGAACAACATTATGTTAAGAAAATATGAAGAATTGTATCATTTAATTTCAAGAGGCCACAGTACATAAGGATGGGTCAAGTGGATGCTGGGGCCAGTTGGCCAGGCAGAAACTATGTTTCCCAAAGAGGTGATTATGAGAACTTGCGTGGGCCTTTTGGTTTAAACAATTGGTTTACATATGTTACATTTGACTATTTTCTAAATGGCATTGTGCAATCATATGATTCTGATGCTTGACATTCAGTAACAGTGTACAGTAACATCAGACTGACCACAAGTAAATTATTGCATTTGTCTTTTGATTTATGTAGATTTCAACAACCTGTGATAATTTGTAGTGCCTTGAATGGAAGGTAGATTTATAGTATCAGCCATTTTGTACCTTTCACCAGGTCACTTGTCAGGTAATATAGTAATGAAGAATAGAATGTAAACAGAACAGCCAAACACAGCAATCACGCACGTTGATTTCATAGCTACCGGTAATTTAATGATTATTGTCAGGGATTTACATGGAGTCCTGTATTTGAGGGTCCCTGAGACTGATACTGACTGACTGAACAGGGGTCCTGGACAACAAAATGGGGGTCCCAGACACTTAAATAGTATTATTAGGTCTTCAGACGAAAGTCTGGAAGACCTACTGTTATTATCCGAATTATTATTATTATTATTTGGACGTTTTTTGTGACAGCTCTCCTGAATTAACCGCTTGGTCGATTTTCATGAAGCTTTCAGGGATGATAGCCTGTATGCTGAAATTGATACATAGTTGAAAAAATCCCGACTTCCGGCTTCCGGTAAGGGCAGATAACCCAAAATGTCGAAATCTTTACACCTGAATAACTCAAAAACTATAAAAGATAAATTGACCAAATTTTCACTCAATGTAGACAACATCATTCCCCAGCGACTCAAAGCATAGCGGAAGTTGGCCGTCATGATAGATTGTCCGCAATTTCGAAAAAACTGATTTTTTTGCCGATTTGCACGATTTGACGGTGCCTGTGTTTGAAAATCTTCTTCTCCAGAACGGCATATAGTACAATCGTGTTCGATACGCCGTTGGAAAGCCAATACTCTGGACTACTCAGTTTGCTCAAGGCATGTCGATATCTTGAATGGTTTTGGAGTTATTGCCCTTGGAAATCGGTAAATTTTTTAAGACGCATTTTCATAGGGTTTAAAAAGAGGTCAGAACTCTGCGAAAAATCAGTGGATTCCATTTTCCATAGTATCAAACTGTAGGTAATTGAATGGGACACATTTTTGCTTCACATCATGGTTATGTAAAAATCAATAATTACGTCACCATTACGACAGAAGCACAAGAATGGCTATTTTGCACATTTCTGCACGTTTTGACGGTGCCTGTGTTTAACAATCATCTTCTCCTGAACGGCAAATAGTACAATAGTGTTCTATATATCGTGTTAAAGCCCACACTCCGGACTACTTAGTTTGCTCAAGGCATGTCAATATCTTAAATAGTGTCGGAGTTATTACCCTTGGAAGTTGGTCAATTTTGTCAATACGCATTTTTATGGTGTTCATAAAAATGTCACAGCTCTGACCTAACCTCTAAGACGATTTTCATAAAACTTTCAGGGATGATAGCCTGTATGCTGAAATTGATACCATGTTGAAAAAATCCCGACTTCCGGCTTCGGGTAGGGCAGATAAACAAAAATGTCAAAATATTTCAAAATCTTTCAACCTCAATATCTCAAAAACTATAAGCGATAAGTTGACCAAGTTTTCACTCAATGTAGACAACGCCATTATCCATCGGTTCAGCGCGATAAAATCAGTCGGACAGCAGAAGACATTTTCCGCAATTTTGGAAAAACTGATTTTTTGTCGATTTGTCTGTTTTAATGGTGCCTGTGTTTAAAAATCTCCTCCTCCTGAGCGTCATATAGTACAATCGTGTTTGATATATCGTTGTAAAGCCCACACTCGGACTACATAGCCTGTTCAAGGCATGTCGATATCTTGAATAGTTGTGGAGTTATCACCCTTGGAAGTCGGTGAATTTTCTAAGACACATTTTCAAAGGGTTCATAAAAATGTCACAGCTCTGCGATAATTCAATGAATTGCGTTGTTCAAGGTACCAAACTGTAGATAATTGAATGGGGAACATTTTTGCTTAAAGTTAGTGTCATGTAAAGTCAACAATTCGTCACAAACACTCGACCATTAGGACTGTTCGCATTTGGTTAGTGGTGAGATAGCTGGTGAGGTAGGTGAAGGAAGCCCAGTAAAATATAGCAACATGCACCGTGGAGTGACTTTGCAATGCCCAACGAAAATAGTTCCCTCTTTAACAGGTCGTAGTAGCTCCGTTCTTCTTAGGTCTACAGTCAAAAGAGTTAGTGTTCTTGAATTTGCACGATCTAATCTCTCCAGCAGTTTGTTTGCCAGCCTGAGTTGAGTTGAGTTACTGTGACACGATCATACTTGATATTTTCATAACAACAAAATCGGCAACATTTACCAGTAATCTCTTTTTGAGTATATATCAGTATTTGTTGCTCATTTCCTTTGCTGTGCTTGGCTGTGGGTTTCTGTTTGTTTTTCTGCAGTTTGTGTCAGCTGCAATGAATCAGCGCCAAATTAGGGAGTCAATATTTCACATTAACTAACATTTACTTTCTTGGTAATTCTATCTCAGAAACACTGTAATGGGCGATCCAGTTGGCGTCCAAAGAAACAGGATAAGTAAAGGTAGCCACGGGGTGTATATGGGGAAGTCTGAAGACCGCCAGTATTGCCCTGGAGGCAATCCTAGTTAATACTGTTATTGTATTGTGTATCATGATCATCACATTGTTACAGTTATTAAATTGCAAAGAATACCATAACCCAGCTAGTAGCAAACTCAGTGATAACTTATTGTCACTTGATTGGAATTTTTACAAAAAGTATTTGGACTTTTTCTGAGCCCCTGTGGGCACGCTAATAAATTTTGTTGCATCCATTGTCAATTTTTATGCGTATAGGACGCGTCCTGTAAATCCCTGATTGTGCTTGGTGTGTAGTTATGTGTAAGGTTTTTTCACCATGGTGTGTTGCTCCCATGTGATGTACAGCTGGACAGTCTGTGGGTTGCATGTGCTTCAGTTGAATATCAGGATGGTTTTTGGGGGTCCAAGCCAGAATAGCTTTATTGTTATTGTTAATCCAGTAGGGAGTACAGAATGAACTGAAGAAACAGTTCCTTGAGCCTTTGTGAAAGGGCTGATGATTAAAAAATAATTTGTTTTAAGAGAATATATTGGCCTAATGCTTTGCAATAGTTTGTGCAATTACTGTGAGACTAAATCAAATGCTTCCAATCTCTCCAAGAATTTTGTTCTTTCTCAATATTTAATCCTTTTCAATTTATCTTTCTTTCACTTACCTGGTAGGTGTGCTGCCCCAGACAGCATGTGTAGCTTACAAGCAGTCGGTGTCACCATCATGCATGTAGACAGTTAACCTGTACAGCTTTCACCTTCATCAGTAACAGTCTTGTGAATGTATAGCCATAACATCTATAATAATGCTATGATATATCTGTTGTCATGCCCTGAGATGTATGTTTCTTGAGTCAGTGAAACATCAGACCAATTCTGCTTATATTGGAAAAGGAAACCACTTGATTAGACTAACAATTAGTCTCTGAAATGAACATATTTTACAGATAAAAGGCTCATAGTGAAAAAAGTCAAAATATAATAAAAAGGAGCCCTGAGACTTTCTTCATTTTCAGAAGCTGTGGAAATGTAGACTTGACACATTTTCTAGACTTGCGTGGGATTTCTTGGATATATTTGCTTCAGGGTCTGTATGACAGACTACCACTTGATAGTCTTGATATTTTATTTCGAACTGGAATGACAGGTGTACTGTCACATGTCGATTCCCAAGTTGAAACTGAAACATTAATGAGAATCAGTCTGTACAAGAACTAGGTGTGAAACATTAATGAGAAACAGTCTGTACAAGAATTAGGTGTGAAATATTAATGAGAACCAGTCTGTACAAGAACTAGGTGTGAAGCA